CCCCCCGTGCAAGGATACACTCAGAGACACTGTATGTCAAATATTTGGACCTTTTGAGACTGCCCCACCCCCTCCCCCTTCCACTCCTCAACTTTGTTCATTCCAAGCCGCTCCATGAAAGATCAACACAATAGTGTAAGCCTCAGTTTGAAATGTCTTTCTTTTCCTTTTGCTATACAGTACCAATTTTCCCACAATAAAGGAAGAAACAGACCCAAGCTTCAAATCTGTACTAACAACCAAAAGATGAGTTCAAAACTCCTCGCCCTCCTCTTCTTTCTCCTCCTACCCCTCCCCTTCTCATATTTCTCTTCATCTGTCCCTCCTTTCTCTTTTCCTTTCGTCTCCTCCTCCCCCTCCCCCGTTGCATACAGGAGATTCGAGTCGATTCCCGAGTTGGAGAATTTTTATCGAGTATCTCGGTCTTTCTTCTCTGGTATGTTGTATCCCTCACAGACAGGGTTGACCCTGACAGGAAAGGTCGAATCCCGCTTCCTAAATGGTCTACTTTGTGTCGATGGGGGCATAAAATAGCCAATGCCATTTACCTCCACCACCCTCCATCCCACCCCAACCCCAAATTCAGAGTAAAAAAGAGCTGTCGTAACCAGTAACAACAAGCTGAAGGAACCCACAAGACTCGCGTCCACACGCAGCAGATAGGTCAAAGTTTACCTTGAGGGGTGGCATGGCGGCTGGCCTCTTCTGCGTGACGTAGAAGTACTGAGGCACGTGCACGCCGTAGGGAGTGTCCCTGGCTGAGAAGAGCACCCCATCCTGCTCACGCGCGCTGGTGCAGCGGTTCGACATGAGGGTCATTGCTCGCTGGAACACCTCTTCTCTTGACCCCCGAGAACCAGCTCTGTGGGGAGTAAGAGGAGAGAGGGGGCGTATAAGTTTTGCGGGGGTTTGTGTGAGTGCTTTTGTGCATGTATTTGTGTCGAGTGTGTTTGTGTATGTGTGTGTGTGTGTGTGTGTGTGTGTGTGTGTGTGTGTGTGTGTGTGTGTGTGTCTGTGTGTGTGCGTATGTGCGTGTGCTACGGTTCGACAGGTGGGCTGTCGCTCACTGGAACACTAGTCTTCTTCTCTTGACCAACGAGAACCAGCTCCGGGGCTGGAGTAAGGGCGGTGGTATTTTTTAAATTTTATTTCTCACATTTTTGTGAGTGTGTGAGTGC